ATATTCTTAGGAATGACAATATTGGATTTGAGTAAATTACATATGTATGAGTTTTACTATGGTGTGTTGAAAAAGAAATACAACGAAAATATCAAATTGATATATACAGATACTGACAGTTATGTAATTCAAACCTTCACGGATGATATCTACAAGGATTTTCAAGGTATCAAGCAACATATGGATTTTAGTGATTATCCTGTTGAACATCCATGCCATGACACAACAAATAAGAAGGTCTTAGGAATGTACAAAGATGAAGTCAATGGAAAAATCATTACTAGATTCATCGGGTTGAAACCTAAATCCTATGCTTTCACAATCCACGGCGAGGATGAGGAACACAAGAAATCCAAAGGTGTCGTCAAGCACAAGGTTAAAAAGGAATTAACATATCAGAACTATCATGAAGCACTGCATCACAACAAAAAGCACGAAATCTCCTACAACTTCATCAGGAGCAAAACACATCAAATATATTCAATGTCTCAAGTCAAGCAATCACTCAGTAATTATGAAAATAAAAGGTTTTATATTGATGCTTTCAATTCAATCCCGTATGGACACTATACAATAAAATAAATATCTAAATAATTCTAATAATATGAAATTATTAGAATTATTTAGTGGTACTGGCAGTGGTGGTAAGGTCGCTCGTGATTTGGGATACAAGGTGGCTCGGTGAAGTCTCCCCTTGTCTTGTTTGAACCCTGACCAAAAAAGGAAAAACACATTGCTCCCTTCAAAGACCCTTAAAATGTATATATGTATAGAAACCCTGAAAATTTAGGTTGGTGTCCCGAAAAAGATATTTAGGTGGTCATCCGAAAAAAGATATTTAGGTGGTCATCCGAAAAAGATATTTAGGTGGTCACCCCGAAAAAGATATTTAGGTGGTCACCCCGAAAAAAAGATATTTAGGTGGTCACCCCGAAAAAAAGATATTTAGGTGGTCACCCCGAAAAAAAACTATTTTGGTGGACAAACCCTGTGACTGCCAAACCTCGAAGAGAACAGTCAGATTGACGAAGACGGCGATGTCTTCTTAACCTCAGGACGGTAGCGGAGTAGAGATTGACAACATGACCATGTCTAGAAAGTGTCATGTCAAGTTGACAACTAAAGCAAACACATTGAAACAGGGCTCTTCCCACTCACTCTGTGATGTGTGGCGTTGCATTGCTTTGTCAAGGCACAAAGACAAACACTATTTTCCTTTCAATCTCGGTTTATGTTGGGTAGAGCTGTTCAATGAGCTCAGTTGCTTGAGCCACTAACACCGCCCTCACTGTCATCACCTTCAGTGTCATCTTCTGACTTGAAGGTCTGACAGAGCACCAGTTCCAGCGGGCGTCTCCTCAGCCATTCGGAGAGGTTCTCTGTGTCCTCTTCAATGAGGTCGGCGTCCTCGTTGTAGCGGAAGACCCACATGATGACGCTCTCATCGGGCTCGTCCTCCACCAACTGACTGAAGGCACGGTCGTTGAGAATCTTGAAGTTGACCTCCTCCAAATCCCAGCCTCTGTTGCGAAGCCACGGTAGGGTATCATAGACGCAACGCCTGATGAGATGTAAGTCAATCTCCTCAATTTCGTGGAACCTACCACCAGCATGTTGGTTGAGCCTCATGATGAACATCTCGTAGCCACCGTGGTTGTTGTTGAAGAACACCTGAAAGGGAAAGCCCAGCATGTAGAAGGCGACGTCCATGGCGTTAGTCATCACATCATCGTGGTCACCACGTCCGAATTCCATGAAGGCGTCGTTGGCTTTCTTGAGCTCCCACTCGTTCTTGAACGCGACCCACTCCTCATCCGAGAAGTGCTTTTCCTCGCGGTGGTAGTAGCATGTCTTGAAGTATTCCTTCTCAATGAGTCTCCTAGGGATGCCGAAGCTCACCTCATTCTCATAGGTCTCTTCATAGACCTCGCTCAAGTCTCTGACGTTCCAACCCCTATGGATGACGATTTCCAAGGCACTCAACTTGTTCTCCATGGTGAGGTTCTCCATCGTCTGAGTGGAAGCATCCACCATCATACCAGAGCGAGACCCCTGACACGAGGGTTGAGGAAGCCGAGCCCAAAACTCTCGACAAAGTCCGAGCATACACAAGTGGCTTCACGACACCAACTGCTCACAGTAACGGAGAACGCATTTTTTTATCTATCCTTCAGGCTGTCTTGGTCTTTGGTCACATCAGTTATGATACACTTACACCACTCGAAGCAGTCAAAAAGGGGAACGTGGCCGTATCGTAATCATGATACGTGTGTATCGTTTCCATGATACATGTGTATCATTTCATTGTGAAATTGATACAAGCGTATCGTTTCCATGATACGTGTGTATCGTTGTCACGATACGGATGAGCTACTGTCCTGGCTCATGTTCATCCCCTCCCAAGTCCGACTGGTGTGGGATGTGTATCACTGAACGGAACAATTACTCGCTGATGCCTCAACATCTGGTGAAACATTCCTGAGCCTTGATGTCAGCTCAGTGTCCACTGCAACGATAAATGGGGACAAATTCAAAGAGGCTACGCCATTGGTCTCAGAATAGGACACAAAATCGTCCACGAAGGAACTCATCAACTTTGAAAGGAGATGTCCATGCATCTGCTCCAACTTGACCTTGCAAAGCTCAAAGTCTTTCAGGGCGGGAAACAGAAGTGGGAGACACTTCAGGAGACGTTCGTCGTTGGCAGTGTTCCGCCCTTGAGCAGGTCTACCAGGTTTGATGATGCTCTTGAGCGATGTCAGGTTCTCAGTGCTCGTGTGCTTCACCACGAGGTTGATGAAGGAAGCCTCAGCTCTGCTCTTCAACAGAAGAAACTCAGTCATTTTGCCCTGCTGTTCATCCAAGAAGGTCTGAAATGTCGCTGGAAGTTGGTCTGCACTAACTTCATCCATCTCCTCCTCACCCACGCATAGCCTCTGGGTCTTGGCTTTTAACTTTCTGACTGCCTCCTCCTTCTTGACATAGTTCTTCCTCACCATCCCTGGCATCCCACCATAGATGGCAAGCGTCATGTCAATGTAGGTGTCCTCGTCGAGGTCAAGGGTGTCCAGCATCTCCTCATCGTCCAGGGTTCTGTCCATCACCCGCAGATGCTGGTGCATGACAGGGACATGCCACTTCATCCAACCTACCACCTTGAGCATCTTGACGCTCCAAGTTCTCTCCACGAGCACGATGGCTGTCTCCCGCATCTCCACATTGCGAAGGCGAACTTTAAAATGCTCAGCATCGTCATGTCCACCATCACCATCCTCCGGCTCGCTGTCGTTTGGCTCGTCGTCGTCATCTGGTTCGTCAGCATCTTCACCAGACTTCTCATCTTTCTCTGTCTTGTCTTTGGTGGAGACCAGAACCAAGGGTTGAGCCTCATCATCCTTGACAAAGTCCTTGTAGTGCTGGGTCAAGTTCATCTTCTCAAGAAAGAGCAACATCATATTCACCTCATTGACCTTCTCGAGGTGTTCTCGCTTTAGCTTCTGTGTCCAGTGCTCTTTCTTGAGCGGACGTGCTGGAGACGATGAAGCAGTTGATGGCTTGGACAGCATGGTTGGGCTCAAACCCTTTGACTAAAGGGCACAGTCCGACTATACAAATCGCTGTTTGAATAGATGCATCAAACACACAAACTGCTTTCAAGTGTCTCAAATCGCTCACATGCAGGAATGGTGAGAATGTCTGAATGGCACAAACAACACGTTCACTTTTTTTCAGTGAGCAATCATCTGTGCATGGTTTCTGGTCTGAAAGATGCCATCGGGAAGTCAGCAATGACACATCGTTCACATCCTATCAAATCAGGGACAAAAGAGCTGTCAGTTCTCAACGACATTCTCGTCCTCTTCACTCTGGCTGGTCTCGCTCTCGCTCTCGGGGTTCTCTTCGTCCTGTTCCTCCTGCTCGTCAATGTTCTCCATGATGGGCACAACCAAAGAGACCGTATCGCCATCGGCAAGGGTGGTGGTGTAGATGTAGGTGCGATAACCTTTCAGAAAGGTCTCACCACCCCATGCCAACTTCACCTTCGTCCATTGCTTCTTCGGCAAGTCCAGCATCTCACAGACATGGTCGCGGAGATTTGCCAAAGTTTTGCGCTTCTTGATTCTCACCTGAGACGTGGTGTCGTCGGGCAACACAAACGTCAAGTTCAAGTAGCCACCCGTCTTGACCTTCAATTCCTTGTCTTTCTCCGCCTTTGCAATGGCTTTCGCCAGAGCACTCTCCTTCGCCTTTGCCTCAGCAATCAGTGCCTCACGCTGTTTCGTGAAGACCTCGCGCTTCAGCTGAAACTTCTTGATGATGGCTGAGAACTCCTCCTCCTTCTTTTCCAGCTCCTGCGTGGTCATAGCCTTAGCCATCCCAGCCAGCTCAAGGATTTCAGGGTCGGCTTCGACAGCGTAGCCCTTCTTTTCGGTCATGGTAGTCTTCTTCGGTGCCATTGTTTGAAGGCAAAGGCGCTGAAATGCGAGGTGAGACACAGCAGAGTGCTACAAACAGCTTCAACACAAAGCGGTTTGGAGTCATGGTGTAAGTGCAACTCTCAATCGTTGAACAAAGTTCCATGTCAGCTGGCACAACCTCGCGGTTTCCCACTGAGCTTCCCGACAGAATGGTAGATTGTAGTTGAAGAAGTCGTGGCATGAGGCAACGACCGAATTGATGGGACGACAAACCACAACAACCGCCCAAAAGCCAACCCATGAAACCACAGAAAGTCCTATCCTCTTTCAATCAATAAAACTAAAAGTTGAAATCTGGAACGAAACAGGGGACCAAATCATCAATTCGTTACCACATCCATATCGTTATTTCATGCCCCCAAAATCAGCCTTGAAAAAACGAATAAGGTGGTACACGTGTTGAATTGTGAAAAAGAAAACAGAACAGGCAACCATCTACCCCCCACCCCCTAGGACAAGCCTTTTCTACATTTTTTCCCCTCCCCTCCCCTCCCCTCCCCTCCCGCCCTCTGCCGCATGCAGGGGAAAGAGCAAGGGCAAAGAGGAGGGCAGCCAGCTCAGAGCGTGCGTTTTGAAGTGGAGGGCCATATGCGTTCAACACGCACCTTTACGAACCCTTTAGTTGGAAGTTTAGACAACCATTGTGGGGACTCAAGATTCCTGAATAGGAGCCTTGGCCATGACTCAAATAAGCAGTTTGGCCATGGCACATGTCGAGTTGATTCATTGATGGGTTGATCTGGTTAGCAAGTTCTTTTGGCCGGGGAGGGGGGTTGTCGTGGGAAGTGAACGTGCCAATCCCATGCTTGTACGTTGATGAACTGAGAAACCCGCCACGGGTTTGCCTCTGGAGCAGTGGCCGCTGCAGACAGAGGCAAAAGAGAAAGCCAAGAGAGAGAGAGGGAGAGAGTGTGGAGCTCAAGGCCGACTAGGTAAAAGCCAGAGCAGAATCGCTAAACCATGTTTGGCGACCTGGTGTTTGCACATCCACAGAGTGGGCTCCGACATCAGTCGAGTCATTCACAAGATTGGCAGCTGCAACGTGCACTCAGGGAAGGGCAAAGGAAAGGGGAAAGTTGCGAAGCCTTAGCCTCAGACCAGATGCTTCGAGAGAGCTGCGTGGTGTGTGCGTGTCTTTGCGTATCGCGGGCCTCTCAGTTCATCGCTGTTTTTCGGGGTTCCGCGCTCTTGACGCTTGGCTTTCTCGACTAAATTCCTGAAGCCAATCACCTCGCACAAAGAAAACAAACTTCGCTCCCAGCACGTGTCAGGTCCGGCAAGTGGAACAGCCCGGAGGACCGGCCAAGCGAGGGGCTTGCGGGCGGTTTATGTTCCACCACGCGTGTCCTTGCAGAGCGCTTGATGGTGTTCTAAGAAACACCCGCCCATTCACCGGGAGCCTGATTGGGGCATCTTGGCTTAGTGGAGGGGTGCCAAAAGGACAAAACAAAAAGAACACGCCCAGAACCTTCTTTTCAACTGCTGGCTTGTCCACAGATCCGAAAATCCATTCCAGAAACCAACGGGTTGCCTGGTACCGACGTGGACGTGCCTCGGAAGTTCTTGCTGTTTTTTTTTTGAGTGAGCATGTTCGAGCCACTCTTGTTATGCAGAAGAGGTGCGCAACCCCTGGCCGGGGGAGGAGGTGACCACGTTCAGAACCACTCTTGATCCGAAGCTCCCAGTAGCGGCACGGTGCCAAATGAGTACGGATGGAGAAAGGAGCGTGTCTTTGGAAAAGGTCACCCTTCTTTAGGGCTGTTTCAACAGGAAGCCAAAGCCGGCTTGAAGGTTCCAAAGCCGAACTTGAATCAGTGCCTTTACGAATGCTTGGGAGTTGTGGTGCCAATTCTTGATGAGCACCCAAGCATTTGTATGATACCGGCCGTGCAGTCCATCATCCGGTTAAAACTTGTGGGCCTTTGGCTTTCCCTTCCCGTTTTGACGTCAGATATCCTTACCCGTGCCCATTTGCCATTTTGCCTTGGAGTACCCTCTATGCGCGTATCCGTTGTGCGCTTTGACATTGGGCCGAAATGGGCAGCAGGGCACGGTCCCCCCTTTGCGAACAAACAGCAACGGCGGAGTTTGGACGATGCCTTGCCCACATCGTCCGTTGCTTTTGCGGAACGGGAAAATGTGACCTTTCCCGACAATCGGTGCCAAACAAAGCCAAACAAATCGATTTGGATAATTTAAGCTGAGGGCAGGTTGGGATTTGTTGCACCCGCACAAAGAATCAAAGGACGCTGTTTAAAAGTGCCTAAAAAGCGTTTGGTAGTTGGTTACAACTCACCCCCCTTTTGGAAGTTAAACCACTAGACATGGAAGCTACAAGGAAGACAAATGAAATTCCGTGTGCCCAGGAGCCGCCAGGCTACAGGGCTAAGGCTGGCGGGTGATTGGGAGGGATCCAGCATTTGCATGCACGCACGCATGCAGGCGCGCGCGTGCGCACGCTCACACGTGCACCACGCACGCACGCACGCAAACCACGCATGCGGGCACGCACGCCCTACGCGCTCGCATACATACGTGCACATATTCAGACCCTCCTCACATAGGCCTCCCTTGGACCTAGCTCACCAATGAGAATCGACAATAAGACTAGGAATAGTAGACGCAACAGAAGTACTGATAAGGATAGCACCACTTGTGCAAATGTGTATGACTCACCCAGCCAGGCTCGCTTTCTTGGCTTTTGCACATGTTGCCAGGGACGGATGGCCTGGCACGAGGAGCCCAACGTCTGGGAGGCGTCGAGGGAGGGGGGGGGTCTTGGTTCAGTTTGAAGGTGGGACGCCTCTTGCTAAAACCACCTTATGCTTCTGCCTCAAAAGGGGGACCCAAAACCGGTTGGTTTCCTTTTGATTTCCCTTTAAACATCAACTACAACAAGTTCCACCAATTTGAGAAACGCTTAAGCGAACAAATAGGATGTCACTTTGATAGACGCAGTTGCTGGCAAGGGATGCAAGGTGTCCCATTGGTCAGTTCCTTTTCTCATGTGCATGGTCGTCATTATGCCCTTGTTTGTTTTATGTTTGTGCTTTTCTCAGTTTTCTGCGTTCTCTCCTTCTTGGTTCCAGTTTCCGGCGGTTTGGCCCAACATCCTGTGAAGAAAGGCGTGCCTTGATTCTGAAAATCCCAGGGGCAGCTTCAGCGCAAGGACGCCTGCAGTTTGGACTCAAAAAGTGTTTTTCCTCCCTTTAGCAGGACTCAACCCCCGCCACACCACCAAGCCAGCCGAGGGTAGTATGAAGGGTGAAAGGAAGACACATTTTGGTGTGATGGCTTTATTCGGCTATGGAGTTAGTTCCGCAAGCTATTTTAGTTGCTCAGGCCCTTAGATCCAAAGGTGACTGCAAGGACTTTCCGAGTGCTTCCAAAATTGGGGACCCTTCAAGTTTTTCCTGTTTCCTGTGGAAAACACATCATTCAGAATCTAGACTAGGCAGCCTGAAAGGCACGGCGCGCGTCATTAAGGTGTATTCAAATCCAAGGGTTTGTTTCTCCTTTGCCAGGCTTAGCTTACCTTTTGGACCTTTTGCCTTCCTGGCGTTCTTTCCTTTTCCCTGTTTTCCAAGAGCCGCTCACCCAACTAATGAAAGGGAACTCCCCCTTAAGCCTCTCTTATAGAGCGCTTTTATTATTGAGGGCTGCAAAAGGTCGCGTGGCTGCACCAAACCGTGCTTAGGGCAAGCTGAAGCTTTTTGATGACCGGATGCTCTGGTTTGGGGTTTTCGACGCTGCAGGTTTCTCGCGACCAGGCGGGGCTGCAGACTGGGATTTTTGTTTTTTCTTTCAGGAGGTGGACCCCTCAACAGAATCGACTTTATGCTGGCTTGGGTTTGACATGAAGCAGAGGGTCTCTACTTTCGACACCTACTGCAGTGACAGATTTGGGGTTGTGAGAACAGGAATTTTGTAATATGCGAGTCAAGCAGAACCGCACCTGGCCCGTGGCAATAAGACGATTTGTGCTTGGATGCTCAACTGGCGACAGAGCTGTGCGCCAGCATTGAGATTTTTGGTGTGCTTGAAATCCTGAAGGGTGGGGATAGCCCTTCGGCTTGTGCTGAGGTGCGCAGGGTCAGCAAAACTTGCCGAAAGTTGGGTTTGCCTATGGGGGCCAATCACAAATTGAGCAACTGGTAGCAGACACCTTGTTTGCCTGCGCCAAATGCTCGACATCTCTAGTAAGAGGAAGAGCGTATTGACAACATTCTAGCGGTGAATCTACCGGTTATTCATTTTTTCGAAAACTCCCCTAACAGACCGCACGAAAGACACCAGGAGTCTCAGCAGCACCTCCAATTCTTGGCTGCCCGGCTTCAGTCACTGCGAGGAAATGCAGTTCGGATTTTTGGAACTTCATTGCCATTCCTTTACTGGGTGGGGGATCCTTCTTTCCAGTTTGTGATTTATAGCCGCAATTTCCCCCCAGATGAATCCCACCCTTTGGTGCAGGCTCGAGAATCGCTTTGAAGCCATCAAAAGCATAGTAGAGTAGAGGTATCATCTTCTTCTAGTTTACACGCCATGTGTCCCGATCCTAGGTTTTCCTGTCAGAATGTTGAGTGTAAGCCCGAGTTTGTGAGGTGCTTGCTGTCTGTCGAGCTGTTGAAACGCTTCATTGCCAGCTACTGGTTTTGTGGGGGTGGGTTAGATGTTCTGAACAAAGCAGAACTTCATCAGGTTCCCGAATTTTCAGGTTTTGGATTTATGAAAAAAATGTCCAGATGCGTGTTTCTTTATAGATTGGCTTAGGGTTTGGCGGGTACCTTCCCATCTACCCTCAACAACTAGAGGGTTCCCTGCCCCACCCATCGAAATCTTAGGGGTACCTTCCCACCAAAATAGAACCTGCCTCTGGGGGGCGGGGTCTTGGTTTGGACCATTCCTCCGGAAGGGGCCTTGTGGTTTCCTGGCAACGTGGGTATCTACATCGTTGTTCAGTTCACACAAAGCCACACACACACACACCCAGACACCCACACGCAGGCAGGTTTGGAGAGGTGTTGCTTTGGGCCGTTTCAGAATGCGCAAGGACCTGAAGCAAGAGGAGGAGGGAAGGAGGAGAGGACACAGAAATGAGCAACGGAGTCCCCACTTCTATTGTCGCGTTTCATGGGGGCCTGTGTAAACCTTGATCAGCATCTTATAGCACGTTACAGCATGTTGGTGGTACCGAAAGTCGATGAGTTGCACTGCTCGCATGGACTTGGCTGTCCACACACGCTAAGAATTTCTTCTCAACTTCTTGAACGTGTGATCCAGATCCAATCTCGCATTTGTCAGGCAGGACACCGATCAAAACCGCAAAGCATTCTTTTTGATTCGTCCTCGGTGAACATGGTGGGTTGACGGGGGGGGGGGTTGCCCGGACTTTCATGCTGCCCCGCGCATGCCCATTCTTCGGCGTGTTCGCGGCTGTCGAGGGGGGGGGAGGGAACAGGGGGGATGGAAAGACCACGGTCCATGTTTCCAGCATCGAGGCCAACCTGTGTTTCAAACTAGCCGATCCCGACCCCAGCCCCACGCCATGTGACTTCTCCGCTATTGGCGCGCTCCGCGACTGCGCTATTTGACACGCTGCCACTTTGCCGCAGGTGGTTTTAGACACGATTGGGGTCTTCTTGCGTTTGAAGGCAGGCTTCAGGACTGTGGCTTGACTCTCTTAGCGAGAGACCTTCAGAATGCCAACAACACTTTCATGCAGCTGCCCAGGCCGGGCTGCCTTGTATATGCGAAGCGGACAAGGCAGAGCTTCCGAGACAAAGACCAGCATACTCGAGCAAGAAAATGAGAATGCTGCGCCTGCCAGCACCGCGTATTCGAATCTGAGATTCGAATACGCGAAGTTGGACATTTGCAGACTTTGCTGTGATCCAACCGAAGCCACGATTCACTGCTATTCGCATAGGATTGGCACCATTCCCAACCCATGCCCAAGAGTGACCGTCATTCGGTCCGGGCAAAGCCCCCCCGGCAACCCAACATGGTGCTCACTTTTGTCCATGAGGGTTGCAAGACGACCCTGCAAGATCCCACAGGCTTGGGGTCTTCACTTCACCCAGCATGAAAGCGCCAATCAGCTCGAGCTTTGTTTTTGCCGGTGGCCCGCAGCAAATCAGGGGTTGCGGGAATGTGAGGTTCGGTCACAACTGGAATATCCAGCAGTCATACCCTGGGGACTGGCTTACGGAAGCCCGAAATCGCTCATAATCATTGGGGTAACAGATTGAGTTCTTTGCGTGGATCTATGACTTCCATATGTCGGAATCAGAGGCCCCTGCAGATGACTAGTTTGAGTTCTTTTTTGCCATATCCACTTCGTTGTGCCCTAAACTGGGTGATCCGCGACAGTGGGGGACGGTGGGGTGGGGGTCGGGTTGGTTTCTCGCAAAAAGTCTGGGACTGTGGGAGTGCACGTATTGCTGTATGAGTCGTATCAGTTGTTTGCACTTTCTTTGCTGCGGTTGACTTTTTTTTTGAAGAAATTTGGTTTAAATGTCAAATGATTGGTACTTAATTCTATTGTAAGGAGCTCCCGCGTAAGCAGATTGGATTCTTGATTATATCTATTTAGTTTCATGTCTCATTGAGCCGAATTCGAGAAAGGTGTAGCGACTTTCGATCTAAATCCGCTTCTCCACCAAGAGCCACTCTCCAAATTCGTAATTTGAATATAATTGAAAATAGGACTCAATAAGGAAATACTTGTTCCAAATCCCATTGAACATTCTATCTCCAATTTAGAATTTGGAGTTTGAATATTATTTGATAGGACATACTCCAATCAGAATCTGCATTTGAAGTTGGAACGTAAAAAAATATATATTCTATTTCAAATTGAACATATACACAACAAAGCTAACATTTAAGCACAATTTCTTTAAACAAAGTGCAACTCGCATTTCCATTTTACACTGGATTTTTCAGCAGGAATTCCATTCAATAGAGAACAATTCCACTCGGTCAGCCCTGCGCAAACCAAACACACGAAACACCTGAGAATACAAGAAAAACACCACACAACAAAGCACGATGGTCCCAGAACTCTTGGCACAGCAAGTGGCTACTTGTTGAACGCATGTCTGAGGAATGTTCCTTTTTTGGCTTGCTCGAATTTGACAGGGCTGCTTTAATGGAAAGGCTGTCGCAGAATCACTTTGTTAGGTGTGTCTGTTTGGTTTTGTGTCTTGGTTTCCTTATGCCCACCACTCGGCTGTCGGCAATTTTTGACGAGCTGTCGGCTTTTGTTTGAATCAACGAAAGTGCCACGAATTCGGAGGGACATGCGGGGATCATTGCCCGTCGCGATTCGCCGCGAGGAAGGCCGACGGCAAAGCCCCAAAGATGAAATGGGCCCTGCGCCCAGCTGAGAAGCCGGCGTGAACTAGATGGGTATGAGTCAAAATTAATCCACCAGGGGACCGCAGGTTTTAGTCTCTGTTTGCATTTGCCAGGGTCCCATTCGGGGTACCTATTCTTGACCCACACCCAGATGATCATTTCGCCAAAGGGGATGGATCGTTCAGCTTTTCCCAGACTATTACTCACTCGTTTTGGAAGGGACACGAACAGGGGATGGGTGGGTGGGTTGACACCACAGAGTTTAGTGGAGCGCCTCTACAGCCACTGGGGAACTGCCTCGTTTTTTCCTCTTGCAATTTCCAGATTGAACTTGGTCTTCGTCTGGACAATTTCGGGTATTTTCCTAGGGTATATCTCAAGATGTCATGAACACCCTTGACGACATGCTCTGGATTAGCTGACGGCCGCCTTTGTCAGTTAATACCGCAATTCCATCACCTTTGCTTCACTTTATGGTCATTCCTTTTGTCTTCTTTCTACCATTTTGCAGATTGTTTGCATTCTGGCATTTTCCATGAAATGTTTCTTGCTATTCTTGTCTTTCTTGATATTACATTCTTATACTTCCTTCATCTATCTATTCGTCTTCTTCTAGTTCGTCTGCGTATCTTGCAACAAGCTCACCAATCGGGCATGATGATGGTTCCTCAGATTTGTTACACATGGCTTCCTTCCACCAGCTTGTGATTTGGCGTGGGTTGTCCGGCATACAAAGCCATAGATAGTAAACATGCATACAGAAGCATCTACGTGTACTGACCCACATACATGCGGATTCAGATGTGTATATTCATACACTTACACTTACGCTTGCACAGCATACTTTTTCCACAAAGACTCCCACGCTTGCACAGCACACTTTTCCACAAAGACTCCTACGCTTGCACAGCATACTTTCTCCACAAAGACTCCTTTTCTTGGGGTTGGAAGGGATGGTCAACCCCCAAGCCCTAGCAAGCTTGCACAGTCGGCGAACAAGGGGAGCCATGACCACCCGCAGAGCTCAGGCCGTGAAGTCTGAAGTCAGGGGGCCCGAACGCGGGTTGGGTGCGAAGTTTGGACCCCTCCGTACTTGAAGGGTTCGATCCGATGAATCAGAACCCCCTGTTCTGAGAGCCTTATGTGGGGTGGGGGTGGGGGTGTTCGGGCTTTCCATGAAGAGACGTAGGTTACTTATTTTGCTGAACCACCTGGTAGTGTGAGCATATTCTCAGACCTCCAGTGGCGTCCTGTTCTTATTGTTTTTGGTGGGCTTCCTCCAAAGTGCACAAAGAGGGTGTCCAGGAATCCACGGGAAGGTCTGGGTATTGGGGACACAGCACTCTGGCGGGACCGGACACATGGATTCATAGCGAGTGACGCGGACCTGTTTAGAATGAGTGAGACAGGCTTCCAATGAGAACTGATGCGCACCGGAAAGGCTTCCTGTCCTTTGAGCCTAAACTACCTACTCGTCCGTTTTGTTCAGCCCCGCAGAAACATAGACATGGTCAGGATCCTTTGGGTAGCGTAGTTTTCTGTTGAGGGCACGAATTTGCTCTTTCCGTGGTTCGAGGGAGCGAAGGTTGCAGCTGTCAATTTTCAACAGCTTGGCTCAAGGGAAACCTACATGAGATGATGTTCAAGCAGTGGTTGAAGCTATGAATTAAAGCATGATCAGCTATGGAGCTTAGGGGTGCTTTTTGTTTTCCATGTTTATTTGCAAAGCTGAGGGAAACGAGGGGATTAGTGCCGGATGGCTTCTTGTTGTTTTCGCGGGCTGACTCCCTTTGATGCTTGGATGCTGCTTTCTTTTGCGAAGGTCTGTGATCTTTTCAGAAGCTGCAGCTTATGGGGCTGCGAAGACCTGCCTGTGAAGCAGAAGCCTAAATACCCTAATTATGCCTCAAGGTCAATCTATGGGGGCCTATGGTTGGGCAAATCAAGCCATCGATACAAAGACTCTTGCCGCCTGCACTCACGAAGGCATTCACATGGACGCAGTTGATGGATGGGCACTACAACACAGGCATGTGGGCTTTTGCTTCAAGATAATCCCAAAGCAATGTTTAGACAGAGGACCCCTTCAAATAGTTGGTCTCTTCTCTGGGTTGTTCTTTGAACCAACCAACAATGGTAGCCCCGAAACACGCAGACATGTGTGGTTGCTTTCGTTTGATTGCCCTTTGAACTTTGAAGGGTGTGCGCTGAATGGCTTCCAACTGCATGCCCGACCTGGTTGCCAACCACCGATGGATTACTGGCTTCAGTTTTAGCCATTCACCATTGCAACCATATCGTTGTCCAAAGGATGCCTAGGGACCCCTCCGGAACGACAGATTTCATGCTGGTTTCGATGGGATTGACCGTCAAAACAAAACAGGCCTTGTCTGGTTTGGACCTGGTCCCAATTGGCAAGACGAACCAAGCGGAACCCCCCCCCAATTGAATGGGGTTCTGTGTCTTTTTTTCTTCTTTATGAGGCTAGTCCTTGTGGGATGATCTTGAAGCGCCAAATGGAAACCGCTGTTTTCGCCTGGAGGTTGGTGGACACTTTGTTTTGTTGCCGACCCACCCAATTTGACCTCCGGAAGCTCCGAAGAAAACTCACTCGGCAAATATTTATCGTGTGCTCCAATTGGATTTGTAGCAACCACCAAATATCCTGGTGGCCGCATTCCGGACCCGTGACGCCTGCCACCTCTGAGGCGGGATGATGCCCGGTGCTCGATCCGGGGGATGGCAACAAGGTCGAGGCTAAACCCCAAGCTGCGCCGGGCGGGCTTTGGGCACTGCCACTGTGCCACGGTCCAAGCGATCTTTTGCTTGGGGTTGCTAACGACGGGTGGAACCCCTTTTTTGATCCCCGGAGAGCCAGGCCCCGCCCAAAGTTTGAAACATGTTCACTGGTCACCCCTATGGATTTAACCCCAAAGCCACCGAAAGGAAAGAGCACGAAAAGCATGACTGCAGAGCCACCTTGCCACGGTTGTCTATAAAAAAAAGGAAAGAGTCTCCCGTAGATCATGGCAATTCGGTTTCTGGAGGCATTCTTCGGCACAAGCACAAGGCGCTCAACAATTGGGGGGGATAGTCTCGGTTCCCATGATGAACTCTACTGCAATTGTTTGCTCCTGCATAAAAAAAATGTTCAAGGGCTTCCCAGCTACCGTACGCCAGCTAAGATGAAAATGTGTTGGCTTGCTCCTGACAAAAAGAAGCCCGAGGGTTCTCCCGGAACTTGGAACACGTACCCTCCGAGGGCCAAGTTTTCTTTTGTAGTATACATGGCCAACATCCAATTCTATTGCACTAACTGGCAATAGCGTATCTAGAAAGCGACCTTCGTCACGATGTCGCAGAGGAAACGCTTGGTACAGCGTCATGTGCTCCTGGGGAAATAAGTGCTGTAAATATATCATTGTTTACCTTTGATGTACCCCGAGCATGCTCTTATGTATCCCTGATAAGTAATTCTATACCCCTGCATATGTACGTTGCGCTCCCAGTTCGAATGTGTATATGTTTTGGGGGGCAGAACACCCCGGGAGCGTCCAGACCGTATGTCCCTCCAAAGTGCTCTTCGAGGCGCTGGCATTTCAAGTCGCTCTCCCAGAGGGCGAGCCGGTGAGTGGCTTGGTTTCACCCAAGAGCCGAACTGGCGCGGCGGGAATGCCGAACCAGAAATGGATTGGAGTATATCTTAAGAACATTGGTGCCTGCTACTCTTTTGGAACCGAGGTCCTGGTTTTTCCCTTGTGGGTGGTTTAAGACATTTGGTTGCTTACTTTGGTCGAGTTTATCATTTCGGTGGAGGCCTGTTGAACAAGGGACCTATCAGGAGACAAGCCCGGAGGCAAGCAGTTGTGGGCATGTCTCAAAGCGGCGCACCTAGCAAGCGAACCAACATTTTCGGCCACGTTCTCCCACTGTACTCTGGGTGCCTCGAGCAGTAGGTGATGATTGGATCCATGTTGTTGTCTGAGTTATAGACATCGTGGCCAAAGCTGACAGTGGGGACAGCTGGGCCGAAGTTGCGGCTCGATTGATACATGGGGAAACCTCGGGCCCTTCAAACACCCCCCCCTCAAAATGGCACCCAACGTTGTTTTTTATGCGGGGCAGCCCAAAAAGGTCTAGTTTCCTGTGGGCTTCCAGAGAGGAAGCCAATGGGAAAACACCTAGACTCTGCCTCAAAATGTGGACCCTCCTTTTCAGTGAGCCAAAACTCCAGAAGATACCACCCTAGCAACGTCCAACCAATCTGTTGGGTCCTTTTGCTTGTTAGCCAAGTTTGGAGGATCTTTGAAGCCTAAAGGAAACCACTTTGTCTGGCGCCGAATTCTGCCGGCACGGCCGGCGCGGCCTTTCCTGCCAGTCAGCTGTTTATGTCCCAATTCGGAGGGCCGTGGGAAGCGGAAAGACCAGGTGACGGTGAAAACGCGGGATTCATGTGAGGTTTTGTCCCAGTTTCCTGTGGCCTATGGTTTATTTGGGAGGGACATAGGGGAACTCACAAAAAACTCCGCAAAAATCAAGGGACTCACAATTTTTTCCACGTCCTCTTGGCTCTTGGGGAAAAAATACTTGTGACGTGGGTTCGTCTTGATGGGAACTCTTATATACAGTTGCCTGTTTTCCCGGAGTTTCTCTTGAATGAACACCACTCTTGAAAACAAAAAGCACCGAATGACTCGCATGTTACCCTAAGGGTGCATGTTTTTTTTGGATGCACGTAGTATGCATATCCGGTCCTATGGAGTTTGCAATTATGTCACACCTAGCCTACGCAGAATGCGACCCACATCCCTGCAAGCGCGCGGTGGAGTAGCAAGCTCGATTGGCCGTGTATATTATTGGCTCGATTGGCCGATGCAGCAAGTTATATAAAGCAGCAGCAGAAACGCAAGCTTGAGTTGCTGGAATCATAAGTTTATCATTCTAGCTTAGCCATCCCGTTCGGGATGGTGAATGGCTTTCTTTTGCATGATGCCTGTCTGTTTCCATTGGCTCTGCGCAGATTTGTTCATGATGCTCTTATGTCTTGATGCTATCCACTGGTGGCTCATGGGGGTGTTTGCTGGCGCTCACCAAATAGTATGATTAGGGTTTCATGTCCATGTGAAGAGCCCGCCTTTGTGGCGAACTGACCAGAGGCTCGCAAAACTTGGGCCAAGTTGGCCATTCTGAAATGTCATGATTCCACTCTACTCCAGTCAATGTGAGTGTGACTTCAGCATGCGGGCATGAGCTTGACTCCAAACGGGATATGCACCCAAAAAGTTGGTTTCCTTTTGGTTTCCCCTTTCACAGCTGCCCCAAAAAGGGCAGCAACCCAAAAAGGGTACCAACCCAACAGAAAGGGTAGCAACCCGAAAGGGTGCCCGCTCCAAAAAAGGCACGACTTCCCAAAAACACGGAGCACTTTTCGGACACGCACAAACATAATTCGAAGGACCCCCATCGGACAGTCGGGTACTCGAGGTGTCGGCCATGGGCGTGCGGTTTCGGGGTGAGAAAAGAGGCGACCAGCCGCCGCCCTTCTGCAGCCGACCCAAAAGGGAAGAATTGGGCGATGGGTGGAATTCGGGTGGACTTGGATGTGCCTGGTGTTGTTTGGTGTTGTTTGGTCACACAGACAAGACAAACACAAACATAACAATCACACAATCACAGAATCACACAATCACACAATCACACAATCACACAATCACATAATCACACACACACACACACAAGCACACAAACAATCAAACACACACACACACACAACCACACAAACGCACACACACACACAAACACACAACCACACAAACAGACACACAAACGGACACACACACACACACCCACACACCCACACCCACACCCACACACCCACACCCACACCCACACCCACACCCACACCCACACGCACAACACGCACACGCACACGCACAAGCACACGCACAGGCACAGGCACACGCACACGCACACGCCCACGCCCACGCGCACGCGCACGCGCACGCGCACGCGCACGCGCACGCACGCGCACACGCACACGCACGAAAGCGCGCACGCACATACACGCGCACGCACACGCGCACGCGCACGCGCACGTACACGCGCACGCGCGCACGCGCACGCGCACGCGCGCACGCGCACGCGCACGCACACGCACACGCACACGCACACGACACGCACACGCACACGCACACGCACACGCACACGCGCACGACACGCACACGCACACGCACACGCACACGCACACGCACACGCACACGCACACGCACAAGCACACGCACACGCACACGCGCACGCACACACGCACACACACACACGCGCACGCGCACGCGCACGCAGACGCGCACGCGCACGCACACGCAGACGCGCACGCAGACGCGCACGCAGACGCGCACGCGCACGCGCACGCGCACAGGCACACGCACGCAACCGCAGACGCTCACGCGCACGCGCACGCGCACGCAGACGCGCACGCAAACGCGCACGCGCACGCGCACGCGCATGCGCGCACGCGCACGCGCACGCGCACGCGCACACACGCACACGCAAACGCAAATTCACACGCAAACACAAACGCAAACGCGCACGCAATCGCACACGCACACGCACACGCGCACGCGCACGTGCACGCACACGCACACGCACACGGGGTTTTACACACGCACGCAAACGAACACGCACACGCACACGCACACGCACACACACACACACCCACACACACACACACCCACACCCACACGCGCACGCGCACGCGCACGCGCACGCGCACGCGCACGCGCACGCGCACGCGCACGCGCACGCGCACAGGCACGCGCACGCGCACGCGCACGCGCACGCGCACGCGCACGCGCACACGCACACGCACGCGCACGCACACACACACACACACACACACACACACACACACACACACACACACACACACACACACACACACACACACACACACACACACACACACACACACACACACACACACACACACACACACACACACACACACACACACACACACACACACACACACACACACACACACACACACACACACGCGCACGCACGCACGCACATACACGCACGCACGCACGCACGCACGCACGCACGCACGCACGCACGCACGCACGCACGCACACACACACACACACACACACACACACACACACACACACACACACACACACACACACACACACACACACACACACACACACACACACACACACACACACACACACACACACACACACACACACACACACACACACACACACACACACACACACACACACACACACACACACACACACACACACTTGCACACGCACACTCAAATGCACACGCACAAGCACACGCGCATGCGCACGCACATCCACACGCACACGTACACTCACCCCCACACACATATATACATATATCTATATACATATGATACATACACGCTCAATTGTCAAGTGCACTCGCGCAGCACTGCCGCGTACCGAATGAACTCAGCACACACACACACACAGACGCGCTCAAGTGGACGTGTTGCCCCGTGCTTTACGCATGAGAAACACAGACTCTCTTTGTTGGATGGCTCTTTGTCAAAGCTGTGCACTTTGATGATGGCCAGCGAAGGAAAAGCGAAGGAAAAGCGGAGGCTGAACCTTGAATTAACGTGTTTGCATCCAGCCAATTGAAAAACCAGTGTTTCGCTGAGGAGAAATGACACATTTGTTGTTTGCATTTGCAGTGCCAAGTGAAATTGACCGCTCTTTTGGCGTCGCTAGAAGGCAAGTAACCTAATAAGCGCAAGTTTTTGCATATTTGTTAGAGTTGTGGGGCTGTCTGAAAATCGTTAACAGTTGCGAGGCGCGGCAGCCGCTTCCCTTGCGCTGCGACCAAAATGATGGGTTTCGTTTTAAATCAAGGGTACAGTATACAGTAATATACTCGCAAACAGCACACACACACACATCCGTTGGATTCTCAGATATCAGACATATCTTTCGATATAGCTCTAATATTGCCCCACGAATCAGCATGTGTGTATCTGGAACCTTCAAACATGGCAATGGCCTTCAGGCCCCCCAATTTACCTTGAGTTTGCAACTTGACGTTTGCTTCTCATTGTGAGACCTCGGCGTTTTGCTTTGGCTCGAAGTGCTTATGAGCAGCGGTTGGGCGCGACCGCCTGGAGCCCAGAGTCTGTTTGGACCCTGCCGCCTTGTGCCGCCTTTGAAAGGGGCTATCAAAGGACCCCCTGTTTTTGACACTCCCCGCTCCCCACGTGCCTGAGTATGTTTACATCAATGCACCCCAAATCCTTGTCTTCATGCAAAACGGGAAGCAGGAGGATTTGGCTTTCCTGGTCCAAATGATAGCTGAACCAGGGGCCCCATCTTCGAACATATCCATTTCACGCGCCACTTGTTGGTGGCCTTGGTGATCTTTTCCTATCGGAGAGACACAAGGAAACTGCTTGGCAGTTGGACGAACCAATGCCGCATCAACTTCTGTTTTGAAAGATTCTTCCGAACCAGCAAGATAAAACTGTTTGAATAAGGCAACATCCAGGAAGGGAGCAGGACTTTTCGGCCTAATCCTTGCTATCCGCCAAATGATAAACGTCCGCGCCCTTGTTTTGGCTTCCTCCAACACCCTTGAAACATACTTCCACCACCCCCACCACCCCAATTTCAACCCCGAACCCCCAACCCCACCCTCCACCCACCACCCCCAGGTGGCAAGTGCTACACCAACGCACCGGGAAGAGCCACCGCCGAGTGAAGCCTCCGAGGTTTTGAGCCGCGGAGTCGCCGAAGTCCTCGCCATGGGCGATGAGGCGATGTTCGTGGCCGCTGGTGCTCAAAACGGGGCGGTGTCTGTTGAGTAACTTGTTCTTCGGACTCCCCTTTCTGGATGGTATGGTGTCTTTTTCTTGAAGGGTACCCACTTATTTTGTGTAGCGCAGCGCACAGTTGCTGGGCGGTACCCAGTGTGTTAGAGGGTACCCTTGTCTAAAGGTCGTTGTAGTACCCGCCCTTCAAGTGAAACCCATTTGAGCGGGTCCTATGGGTGACTCCCAGAGTTTTAACGTTTCCATTTCGGCCCCTCTGAAGTGTCAGCTTTATTGAAATGTGTTCTCATTGTCTTTCTCCTTCTCGTTCTCTTTGTTCTTCTCCCTCCTTCTCTTTTTCTTTCTTTTGCTCCTTATCGTTCTCCTTATCGTTCTCTTTCTCTTTCTCTTTCTCCTTCTCTTTCTCCTTCTCTTTCTCCTTGTCCTCCTCCTTCTCAATCACTCTCGTCTGCCCTCTCCATTTTTGTTCTTTCTCCTTGTCTTTATCTTTGTGGATCTACTTCTCTTTGTCCTTCTCCTTCTGTTTCTCTTTTTCTTTTGTCGTCGAATTGTCCTTCTCCGCCTTCTCCGCTCTTCTCTTCCTCTTCCTCTTCCTCTTCTTCTTTCTCTTTCCGAATTTGAGTCTAGATACCCGAAAGTACCCAGAGGGTTGTGCGAGCGAAGCAAAATATGCCAAACAAACACGAGTTTTGCATGGTCAGCCTCTCGGAAGTGCGCAGAGCATTCATAATCTTATGGTTTCGAAACAGTGCTCGCGGCCGTGCCCATGGTTTCGAGCAGATTCGGAAGAGCGGAATTCATGCACAGGCCACGCCTTCTGCCCGCTTGTGTTCCCCAGCTCTCGCGTTCTCTATAGTTTTTTTTTTTTTTTTTTTTTTCACACACGGTGCCAGTGCTATATTCTCGAAGAAAGCAGGCTCAAGTAGTTGAAGTTCTTGTTACACATCTTTGTTGTTTACTTTTATTGATCTCTATTTGTTAAGGTGATGTATTTGGGTCACCACCAGAAAATCAATAAACTTTTCGGGCCCCCATCCAGAAAACGGTTTGGACGAGCTTTTTGCGGATTCCACCGGTTCTTCCCCCTGCTCCGCAGGGGTTCCCCAAAAGCCGCAGGAAGGAGCCAACGGCGATGAGGTGAAGGCGAGCGAGAACGCCGAGGTCGTAGAGGCGAGGAGGGAGGATGAGGTGGGGTAGCTGGAAGTGCGCTGTCCAAGACTAAGCCCTTCAGATAAAATCAGGAAGACTGCGCGGATCAGGGGTGCTTCTCCTTCTACTAAATTGTCTTGGGGGGGGGTTCGTCTGACTGGTAGGGCCCATCTGCCAGGGTACTTCGTACCCATCCTTGAAAGGGCTTCTGTGCCCCACTTTCTCTGCAAGGCGCACCACGGGTCCTACTTTGGGAAAAACGGGAAGGATGGATGAAGGGGTGATCGACTGGAGCTTCCGCTTCTCCCCACCGAATCCCGACTCCCACTAACATAGCACCTGGATGTGCCTACCATTGAAATGGCCTTTTGGTGACGCACCGAGTGGCAAAGGGCCTCACCATTCAGCCGCTTGCTCTAAGAGATGAGGTCACTCAAAATACCCCCTACTGCGAAGATGCAAGTGTCTTGTTGTCGAGGGTACTGTTTTGGCGGTTGCAAAAAAATGGGAAACCAAAGGAACATCACCAATTCTGAGAAACCATATTTTGAGGACGGATGACCGGAAAGATCAATTCAACATAGTCCACAAAGTGATCGATGAGACAATGACACTCCAAACCGGAAATAGCTACCCAACATGAACAGGGCTCGCTGAAGAACAACACACTAAAACATTACCTTTTCTTCCACGTTCAGGTGGATAACATAATGACCAATACGAATATGCTCGCGCGGCTTATGTGCGATTTTCCTACTTATCACAGAAGACTGGTTGAGATCTCCCAGGGTTCTGTTGGAAGGGAAATGAAAGGGAGCTCTGTTTCCCAAGCACAGGCCTTAAAGATCTGCAAATGCATTGCCTCCGCAGATCACCCTGGGATCACGAATGTGATATCCTCCAATTTGCACTCTTTGGTGGCTCAAAAGGGTTCCCCTCCCCAAAAGTAATTCTGAGAACCGCTCGAATGGTAGCCATTTTGAGGAGTCCGATTCCCCTTTCCCAAAACTGTGGGTTGGCCAGAATGTTCAGCCTTTCAACATGTTCCTCAAAATTACCCGCTGTGGCTGTGAATCAAAGTTGTCCCCCCAAACGTGAGGGTGGTCTTTTTTTGAGGGCACCCCTCTTTGGCTTTTGGTTTTTGAAGAAAATCGAAAGCACCTCCCCCTTTTTGACGGTTATAGAGGAGAAAGCCAAAAGGAGAAGACGTAGTTTGGGGGATAACTCCAAGAAAGCCACCCCCTGATGTGGGCTAGGTACCCCAGTAGTGCCCTATTACCCTTTCTTGGGTCAGGGTTCCCCTACTAAAATAGACAAAAACAAAACAAAACCGTGGGTGCCCTTATTTTAGGTCCTCTCGACTGGAGGACCTGGTGGGTTTCCTTCCCGGGTGCCAGGACGACGCTCCGAAAGAGGAGCAGAAGCCCAAGCGCCAGAGGCGGAACCGATGGGGTCAGGACGGGCCGGACCGGACGGGCGGGAGGTTGGCGGTTTTGGCGTTTTGGGGCGTGGTGCATCTTCCACAGGTTCCGGGGAACACCACGTTTTGGGGCCACAATTCATTTTCTTTTTTTGTTCTTCTCCCGCCATTTTTGCTTGACCGCCATTGGTTTGACAGCATGTGTTTGTCAGCTGTTTTTTGGGTATTGACCACAAACATTTGAACCATCACGTTTCGGGCAAATGTCCATCACTTTGACCATCACTTTGACCATCACTTTTTTGACTCTTACTTTTTGGACAACCGTTTTTTCGGCTTTTGGGCGCATGGCGCCCGGCTCAGGAGCCGGACCTGCCCGTGCCCAGCGCGGACGACTTAGCGCTGGCGCCTTTGGTAGGTGCGGCTCGGTCGGTGAGGGGGGGGCAGAAGAAGCAAACAAAAGAAACCACCAAACCACCTTTTGTTCAAGGGACGAACGGGTTCATTCTAAACTTTTTTTTGGTATGAGGCCCCGTGTTTCATAGTGCGGGTTTGGGTGTTTCGGCGGTGTCCAGTGGTGCTTTCGGGCCGGTCTTATCCCGGCGGTTGTGTTCTGCTGTTGGTGGTGTCGTGGTGATGTCCTGGTAGTTGCCCGAAAAGCAGCATGGTGGTGGAAAATAGAGTTTTGCAGTTGGGTGAACATAGACGTTCCAATTCGAACCCATTTCAGTTTACGCATCCCCCCCGACTCACCCGCGTACAGAGAATTGAGCCATGTACTTTCACCCTGGTGCAATTTCTGCAAGTCGGTTTAGGTTAAAACCTGCTTCCTCATTTTGGTGGCTACTATACAAGCTGTTTTCCTCTAGATGCTCCTCTGGGCCTTCGAGCTCTCCGATTTGGGGGTACAACGGTCTCACCACGATGTAGGCCCTTTGCTGGGGGGATTCCTTGTTTCACGCTTCAGAATTGCTGTGGAATTTGGAGATTCGTTGCTCCCCAGGTTGACATGGAATCCCCAATTGCCCCACGCACTTTCCCGGAGAACATCCCCCTGTTATCAAATTCCAGTCCCCGACAGAGGGCGCAAAAGGGACCCGGGCGTTCATAGTTGCTTGCCCTGAAAGGCGTAGCGCTGGTTCTAACCCCTAGAACCCCAGAATGGTTGGTTTCCTAGCTGTTTCCCGTAGAAAGGAGCCCTTCTCCAATCTTAGGTTCCCCAGCAGAGATGCGCTCTTCCCCAGCGAAGCTTTGCAAGGCCTCTTTCAAAGCAATACTGTGGCTGAAGCCGAGCAAATGTTCGAAGTGGGCTGGGTTGTTTTGGCTTCCTCCAAGAGAATGGAACCTACTCAGCAGGGTTCTTTTGACTTCTAAAACACGGTCCCACGCTCTCCACAGGGCCCTTGGGCACATTCGTCCGCCTCCCGTGCCAGGCGTCGACAGCATGGCTCTAGGCCTACTGCCGCAGCCGGGCTCGTCTTGCTGGCGAGTTGTTCCTCAGCGAATTCCAGCGAATTCCGAATTCTGCTGACCCTTCCAGCGTTGTGCAAAGTATGTATGAGCATCCAGACACTAGCCTCCTTCCAAGGGAAGCCAAAAGGAGGTGGTTGAAACAATAGGTGTTTAAACATGGTTCTGGGCAAATTTGAGCGAGTCAACTGACTGGGTGCTTTGGTCAGGGCAAACCTTGGGACACAGTACCCATGCCTCAAAGACTTGTCTTTCACCAGGGAAACCACTTGTGGGGTTGTTTTAAAGGGAGTGCAGTTTTTGGGGCGCCCAATTTTGAGACAAACACACACACACACACACAAATGGCATGATAGTTGGATGTCATTTTGAGAGCCAACTAGAATGTGGCCATATAGACTTTGAAACCCACCCGCTGGATCAACGGAATATTGAAAAAACACTTGCTTCAAAAGCTTGTAGCCCGTGAATGCTGGATGGTTCTGCCTCCGAGTGCCAAATTGCAGGTCGCTGGTCAACAGGCTCTTTGGCCCAGCTGTGCGAATGCATTGGACGGTTTGAGATGGACAGTCCCAAACTTTGAGAACGGGCCAATCTGACGGCATTGGCGAACCTCCACCACCTAAAGCGAGGGATGGCAAATTCCGGGTCCCTGCAAACGGCTCGGGACGGGACCTGGCTTAGAAAACCAGTGTATACTAAGGGGGGTCTATGTTGAGAGCGAAAAACCAAGACAGCTAGTTGGGCCTGTCTTTGGCGCAGATTTCAAAGAGAGCTACCATGATCTACAACTTCACCAACCATACACATCTAACAAGTCGAACCTGTTTTTGCGGCGGATGTCAAAGAGAACCAACAGATTCACCAACCATCAACGCACAACTAGTTGGACATGTTTTGAGAGCAGATTTCAAACACACGACTCGTTGGGTCGTTTTCGGGGCATCTTTCACAGGCAACCCACATGACTCATAGTTTCACAGACCCCACTTCAGCATGTTCGGAAGAAAAGCATGACGAGAACCAGCATGACCGGCTTCTGCGGCGAGTTAACTTGCCAAATATACGCCAGGGGCTTCGGGCCGGGCCCCGGTGCAAACCTGGACTGCTGAGGGGGGAGGGAGGTGGAACACTGCTCCAAAGGTGCGACTGAGGCCCAATCAGCAATCTTTCAGCCACCTTAAGTTCAGCTTTTGTTTTGCTTTGGTTCTTGCAAAATTCCAGCTTGAAGCGCCTGAGGTGCGCGGACAATTGGTCACTCAAGGGATGGACAAGTGAGCCCTCGACTGGGTCCTTTTGAGGGGCTGTCCAAATCACCTTTGGGGTGTGTTTCCCAAGAGGATGCCACTTTCAACGGACCTTCTGGTCTTGACTCCTGAGCTGGACCCAATCCAAGTGTTGGTCCCTAAGAGTTCAGCAGACTGGTACAGGCAAGCTGTAGGTGGTATGGACTGGTTTGAGAATTTGGCTGAGGCACGTTAAGGCCTAAGGAGGTTGATCTTGAATTGGGGTGGTTGACAAGTGCTCGGACGGGTTCGCCACTCCTTAGCCATTGTTCGATTCTGATCACACACGCGTCAGAATATATCACACAATTCCGTACTCTCACGGCCAACACTTGTGCGAATTCGAGAACTATTCGGCGCCCGTCCCGGCCGCATTGCCCTCGCTTTGCTCCCCACGCCCATGCTGACAAACGTTGCGTGGCAAAGACGGAAACGAAAGGTTGGTATGTGCGGTCAGAGTCTCCAGCAGACTCTGGACTCACTAAACGCAAAACTCGGAGGAATCGCTGACTTTCGTAGTCCTTTAACCGCATCCTGTGACCATGGCTCATACAATTGCCGCTGGATTTGGCATAGGCAGGGAAACAGAAACATTTAAGCCTTGGAGGTAAAGCAAGCATGGACTGACTGCAGCAAGTTGGACAGAAGCCTGGCCCCCACTGAAAGTGCTCGGTATGCCAAACTGGTAAGGAGCACCCTCCATAGTTTTTGCTAACCGTAACTAGGGACCTCATGATTTCCAGTTGGAGGATGGATCGCACCAGGACCTCTCTGCGGCAGCGCAGGCTGCGAGAGAAGCTCTCGAGAAGGCCAGATTGAGCTGTGCCGGACCCCGCATGCAGCACCCAAAGCCGAGGTTTCCTGCTGTGAAAAAGACTTTGGGGATGAGTTTTGGTATCAACAAGTTTACCTGTTTCGGTGAAGGCCGTGTTTCTTGGACAGTTGGCTCCTTCCCTTCTCCACCGCAGGGTTAACCCATATTTCACATTTTGTGTGGGTTGCGTCACGGAAGCGTCACCTCCTGGGCCAATCCAAAGCGAGTTTCCTTGCGGTGGGGCGATGTGTGGGGAAGCCCTCTCAGCTCATCCTCATGCGGTACGGATTCGGGCTTGACCCACTCCTTCCACTTCCCCTCCAGCCCTTCCCCACAGCGGCTTCGAGGCCAAGCGTGCCGCCATGTTCCAGCGCCAGATCCAAGAGCAGATGGCGAAGATTAAGGGCCAAGGCTCCTGCCGGAAGCCGGTGCACACAGAGAGGGTGGTCCCTGACAAGGAAAGATAAACCAGATATGAACAAGAAGCCTTTATCAGCCAATGAGAGGATCCCTTCTAAAAAAGCAGTTGGTCTTTGGATGTATCCTTCAAGGAATCCGGTCTTAGACTGGGGTTAAAACGGAGGCTGTGTTTCACAAAGAAGGCCGTTATCAATTAAAAGGAACAGGTGGGCGTTGTTGTAGCTTATTGTCGGACAAAATACTCTCAATAAATGGATGCCGATCAGTTTGGCAACTGTCCCCCCGCAAAAGCAACATCAAACCGATGATGGTCAAAACCCCTCACCGGTTTGTTTGTTCCTTATCTGACCCAATGAACATGACAATGATAGAGACCCCAATAAGAAGGGAACTCTCAACAAGAACGAACTGAAGTGAAGGCTATTTACGCTTGGAGAATGCTAGGAACCAGGGACCAAACTGGGGGGCGCCCAAGGAACAAATAGTATTGTCCGTAACTGAGAAAGGAGCCGGTTTTGTGGCGTCCGCTTTTCCCCATCGCACGACCTACACCAGGCCTTGGAGGAGGCTTCATGGCCGGCGAAGCGCCCAAGGCGAGTGGCAGGGTCAGGCAGAGCGTGTTTAAATCAAGAGACACCGGGCCCTTTGACTGACTTGTCCAAGACCAAACTTACAAAGTTTTGCCTTTTTCTTTCTGGTCTTCCTTCAGTGGTGGCTGGAACCAAACTAAAAGTTTAGAGTTTTGAGGCTCTGGGATTTGAACCAGCTGGTCAAAGAAAGTTTAAACGCAACATGTTGATTTGAAAGGAAAGCCAAAGGTACTCCGGAATCTGAACCCTGTTTTGGGGTGTTCTCGTAAGCCTCACTTTCCGGAGCCTGATTTCCCGCCAAACGCACCTGTTCTTTCGCTTCTTCGCTTCTCCACTGGGCGGGTGACCTCGCCGCCAGAATCCTTGCGCCGAGCAGTTCCTAAACGATGAGCAAGGCACAAGGATATAAAACCCCGACGCGGTCGGAGCATCCCTGAAGTGGGAGCAACCCTAACGCAAGTGCCAAATGTGTGGAAATCGGTCGGGTCGCATGGGAGCCACCCCCGTTTGGGAAAGTTTTAATAGGAAATGGGGGTTACTCACCACTCATTTACAACGCATATTGCCTATCTGGGTTTGTTTGTCTCCAAGACTACTGGCTCCATGAAGGTGGTTCCATTCTGAGGGGTTACCCAAAGAAGCCCCGAACTGCCAGTTGAAAACGTGGGGAACACCCCTGCCCCGACAATACAAGAACCCACCACGCCAGTCGCGCCCCTCTTTGGGCAGGCGAGGAAGCTGATCCTGGACGAGTTCGGGCGCGAGCTGGACGAGGACGGCCAGGTGGTGCCCATGAAGCCCCAGGCGGTCGGTTTCGGCCGGTTTCGGCGGTTTTCTTGCGGGTGCGATAGGTAGGGAATGAGGGAATGAACCCAGGGGTCCCCTTAAAGGAAACCACCAGTTGGATGGTATAAATTGGGTCATTCCCTCCTTCCCTGCTGAGCACCAGCAAGTTTTTCACCGGCGGAATGGGAGGGAAGAAGCCGCAAAATGGGCAGGGCACGTTTTAACTATGACAAGAAAATGGGATCTCCGGCGGAAAGCGTGGGATTTTTCAGCACACAAAAATTGGGTGCGGATTCATTTCTCGTTTGCCTTTCAACCAAGGGGAATTCTACACACTCGTGCGCAAATCATGTACCTTGTCTCTTGGCTTTTGCTTGGTTTGCAAACCGTGTGTGAGCGACGGATGAAACGGTAGTCTATTGCTAGTCTGCGGAGGACATGGCCGGCAGTGTTAGGTCTGTCGGAACCCTGTAGGAACCGGTCACATTGGGGGGTCCGGCGGACCCAGGGCTAAAACCTCAAGCGTGGCTGTCACAATCTCTTGTGTTTTCTGGGTATCCGAGCTGCCTCCATTTGTTCCCTGCCTATGCGCACGCCAAAGTTAAAGGAGCTGGTTGCTTGAGGCCTTGGGGCTGCCAAGTCTGCAAGTCTGCAAGCATGCTTGCGCAGACAATGTCAGGGTTACGAGTAAGTGGAGCATGACCGTTTCACAGGATCTTGACCGGCTTATATTTAATATTGCTGATGGGAGCAAATTATAGCGCTGGCTTGCTTTACATACGTGTGCCAGCCTGGGTGTGCTGATACGGAGAGGCAAACCAATTTGGTTTCGCTGGGGGGGACGGGCTGGGTGATGAATTCGCGCGGGAGCGATGAGAAGCGGCCCCAGGTGGTCAGCACCTTGAAGGTCAACATCAACCGAGAGAAGGAGGCGCCAAATGGATTCTATGAATACCCCATTTTCGGGTGAACTGCCCCACCCTTTTGGTCCTTTTGGTCCTTTTGCCTTTTGGTCCTTTTGGTCCTTTTGGTCCTTTTGGTTTTGGGTTCCAGACGCGGTAAAACGTGTCAACCTCAGCACTGAGTTCTTTGATGGCTGAAAGTTTTGTCCATGTTCTTGGTGACAAATTATGGCTCCGGATTTAAGAACGGATTGTTGTTGGGGGCATGTCCCCAGAAAAAGATCCGGATGCTCTCTGAACTGGATTGCACCTCGAAAAGTGAAGGATCTTGCTCCTTGGTTGCTTGCGAAGCTGCCGCCAGTATCAGGATTTGGCTGGGGGGTGCTGCTTTTTGACCCCGTTCTTGTGAAGCTATGGGACACCTGCAGAAAGTCAACCAGCGGGTCCTCATGTTGACACTCTTCGGAAGATGGCTTCGCTCCCCGAATAGAACCTCCGCATTCCACGGACCGAGGCCCGAGGGGTTGATGGTCAGCAACTCTTGCGCCCTCCACAAACTGGGTTGGTTCTTTTCGAATGTCCTTTGAACACCGTCCCATTGGAGGCCTCTAATTTTGAGGTACCCAGGTGCATGCAGCGGCAATAGTACCCGACGAAGCCCCCAAAATGGTACACTTTCATGTACAAAACCAATAGGCTGGACTCTTCAGCGATACCCTTGTAATTTTTTCGGTGCCCGACAGTTTATGGTCTTGACAGCGGCCGAGAGCACAGGCAAGATGATAGGCAAACGCAGGGGTCCTTGCAGAAGCCCTTTCAGATAGTTTTGCCCCACCCAAAGGAAGTCCATAAACAGCTTACTAGCCAAGTGATGTCAAATCCATATTTCAGCGGTAAATTGTTGTGAGATAGCCCTGCTCGAGGGTGGAGAAAAGCTGATTGTAGGCAACTGGAATCGAAGGTGTATGGCTTTATGCGTGTCAAAACTAGTTGCATCCCTTTGAAATGGCACGAAGTTCCGATATCTCCGAGGGCTGTCACTTTGTCGACTATACTGAAATCCTTATTTAAAGGCAAGGTACTTAGTAAGTGGTTAGTAAGCCTGGTTATAATCCACTTAGGAGACTTATAACTATGGGAAGTGGGTTGTAAACATGGTTATTACCCACTTACTATGTACCCTGCCCCTTTAAGTATGGGCGGGTTGGGATGGTATGATCAAAACTTTAGAGCCTCCGGCTCAGTCCGCCGACATTGTCCTCTCCCTTTTCTCCTTCTTCCTCTCTCCCTTGTCTCCCTCGTGTGTTCTGTCGTCCTCTCTCCCTCCCCCTGCTCCCCATCCTCCCCATCCCCCCAAGCCTCTCTCTCCTCAATCTCCCTCTCTCTGTCTCTCTCTCTCTCTCTCTCTCTCTCTCTCTCTCTCTCTCTCTCGTTAAAATACGTTGGTACTTTACTGCAAGTGCAAGTGTTGTTTCTGTTGTCACAAACACAAATGTAGTTAGCCAGCATGCACTCTTTTCCTGGTAGACTCAAGGCCTGCAGTCGGGTAGTGTACATCATGCATGCACAAGTGATAAGTACAACATGATATTTGACACGGCCCCTTGGTTAAAAGACCTTGTAGTGTCCTTTAACCATAGACCCAAAAGGTGGTATTGACAGTAGTGGCAAAAACGAATGCACATGTTGTTTGCCGATGCTACTGTAGCGAACAGGCATGTAGTCTCTTAAAAAAAATGACCGAAGGTAGGTATCCACAGCGCTGCTGTCTGTAGTTCAACTAACCTTCAAATGATCAAAAAGTGAAATTGCTGTACAAGAACCCTAAATGGCTCTCAGTCATCTCGTAGTACGATGACGTAGTACAGCACGTAGTTGCAGCTCCACCTAGAGATCAGGTGTGCTTAGTCCAGCGTTGGACTCGGTAGTTCTGGACTTGGCTGATGCGGTAGTCCAAGCCTGCATAGTGGTTGGTAGTGAATGTGTTGAGGAAGTCTGGACCGCCACGGAGGCGGTTGTAGTCGCATTCTGGTGGTGCAAGTGCTTGGCCGGTTGTAGTGAGGTAGTTGTGGAGTAGTAGTTTGTGTTGTGTGGAAAGATTTGTAGCCGTGAGGAGGGTGATGCCGTAGTAGGTGACACTTTTGTGTAGCATCGTGTTGATGGACTTGTAGTGGTGGTCTTGAAGTTGTTGTGGTTGGTCGAAGTAGTTGAGTAGTTCTGGTAGGTACAGGGGCATGTGGTAGTTCCAAATGAAGTTGTTGGACAGGTTGAATGTAGTGGTGATCTGGTCCAAGTTGTAGGTGATTCGGTGTAGTCGTTGATGTAGCTGGCGTGTAGGTAGGTGGTGCTCGTCTTTGATTGAGATCATGTGGCTCACGTAGTCGCGGCAGAAGTTGATGAGTTGTCCAGCACTGACAAATCGTAGTAGAACTTCTGGTGGAATGTGTAGTTGGATGATGACCATCGAGTTGGTGTACTGAGTTGTGAGGTGTAGTGATGTTAGGTTGTAGTAGTAGAAGTTGACTGCCTCTGAAAGACGTAGGTGAAGAGGTAGTGAGTCGTAGTGTGGCATCCGTAGGTCTGAAGGTAGGTCGTGAACTGGTAGGTTGTAGTTGAGCTCGGGGATGGGTGTAGTTTGTTGTTGACTTAGTAGTTGGAACTCCTCGAGCGTCAAAGCCACGTAGACCCTGAAGTAGTTCTGCTCCGGGTCGATCGCTGGAGTGTCAGGGATGTTGTTCTCAATTGTAGTGAGGTGTGCCAAGATGTCGTCGGGTCTGTAGAAAGGTGCCGGTGTGGGTAGTTGGTGATTGAAGTTGTAGTTGAGGGAGTTGTAGGCCTCAGGTGGTGGTGTGGCCAAAGTAGCCATGCTGCTGGAGTCGGTAGTGCCCTGCCGATCCGGTGGTGTGAAAACACGGTCCGGTGTAGTACTGCCAGCCTGTTGTTCGACGGGCAGAGTAGTCTCTGGCGCTGATGTAGTAACCTCCATCGGCATGACATCCAGCGTAGTCGCATCCATGGGCGTAGTTCCAGCCATTGCTGGTAGTTCGGCCTATCGAGATGCAGTGAAACGGGGCAGACAGTAGTGAGCCAATGTTAGCTCACAAAAGCACATGCGGGCATGTAGTAAAACACAAAACAACATGTAGTGTTGACTCAAGCCGCCAAAAGCCGCCAAAAGTGCAAGTGCAAATTACTGGTGGTTACAATTACTATTACTTGTAGTCACTGTTACTGTTACTGTTACTTAAATGCAGGTAGTTACATATGGCCATATACAAACTGTTGTGGTTGATGTGCAACAGTTGTGAAACAGTTGTTGTTCGTAGTGCTAAACACGTATGCCAATGCTCTGTATGAGCCTCTGTAGTGTTTCTTTGCTAATGTATTTTGTGAACAAGTCTGAGCTGTTGTGTAGTGTGTTGATTTTGAGGATTCTGATGATGTCGTGCTTGATGAGGTCTTGTGTGTAGAGAAATTTAAGGTCGATGTGTTTTGCTCGTTTGCTAGTGCCTTGTCGTGTAGCAATGCTCTTGCCTGCTGTGGAGTCTGTGTGGATGCGTAGATTTAGCTTGCTGCAAATGTTGGTTTCAAGTAGGAAGTTTCTGAGGTGTAGTCCCTCATTAACTCCTGTGCAAATGGCGTAGAGTTCAGACTCTGCTGAGCTGAGTGCTATTGTAGCTTGTGTTCTGCTGCCAAATGCAACTGTTGTTCCTAAAAAGATGATGTTGAAACCTGAAGTTGATTTCCTGGTAGTAGGGCATCCTGCCCAGTCGGCATCGACATGAACGTCGAGATCCAGGATGTTGTTGGTGTTTGCTCTGAGTGTTGTTGTTGGTTCTATGGTGAATTTGTAGTGCTTGGTGCCGTGCAAGTAGCGTAGTAGATGTTTGACTCTCTTTTGTGAAAGTTCTGTAGGTGCTGTGAGGTCTCGTGCTAGTTCTTTTGTGGAGTATGCAATGTCTGGTCGTGTGTATGCTAACCATTGTAGTTTGCCAACAATCCTTCTGTACCTTTTGTGTTGTTCGTGGTCTTCATCTTCTATTGTTGGTTTGTGGTGTGCAATTCCTGGAGTGTTCACTGAGTTGCAGTTGTTCATTCCAGACTCCTCGATCATGTTGTCGATGTAGGAGTCCTTTAGTCCCAGGTTGCAGTAGTTGCCAAAGTGGTCGATGTTTCTTCCAAGAAATTGTTGTGGTTTGCCAGGTTCGAGGTAGCCGATGTGCTTGAGTAGGACCTGCTTCTGGATGGCCTCGAAGGTGGAGTCGACAGTAGTCTTGTCACCAAGTACCAAGAGATCATCCACGTAGACCATGATGTAGCAGTCGCGAGTCGCGTTGGTGTAGACGTTAGGTTCTGACTTTAGTCTTACAAAGCTGAGCTTTTGTAACACTTCAGCCAGGTAGTCCTGCCATGCTTTTGGTGAACTGCGTAGTCCATACATGGCTTTCTTTAGTCGCCAGATTTTGTCCTGTTGTGGACAAAGTTCTTTAGGTGGCCAAAGGTAGACGTCACGTTGTTTACCGTCGTGGTCTTTTGCGATGGGTGCGTGTAGAAATGCTGTAGAGACGTCACCTAGTCGCGCTATCCAGTTTGGTCGTGACATTTGTAGTGCGAGAAGTGTCCGGAGTGTCGTGAACATTGGTGTAGAGGCGTAGACGGAGTCTTCGTCCTCGATCTTCTCGGTGTAGCCTTTTGCGACGATTCGGCTTCGTACTCCTGGTCCTTTCTTTCTGTGTACCCATCTTGTAGGTATCGCTTCTCTGATGACGTTGTCGTCGACGGTAGACGCATCTACTTCGTCGTAGACGTCATGTAGCTTCATTTGGTTTGACTCGTGTTTCATTCCTTCCAGTAGTTGTGTTTCGTCGTAACCTTCGTTGTCGAAGATTATGGGTTGGTCTTCTGAGGTGTCGTCGTTTGTGTAGGGTGTGATGAATTTGCCGTTGGGAAGTGTCACTGCGTTAATTTTCTGTCGTAGTGGTGGTTCTTTGGTTGCTTACTCCGTTGATCTGATTGTAGTGTCCTTTGA